TATACATGTATATTATTTGCTTCTGTAATAACTGAAAATAACCGAAAAAGGTTAATTATATTTAATTAAATTTTTTAAAAAATATTAAAATATGTGTGAAAATAAACTTAAAAAAAATATGTGTTTACTTTAATACATATTTCTAGGTTAGAATTGCATTATTTATTGCTTTGAATAAGCAGCCAGTTTTTTTCTCAAATTTCTTTATAATTTCATAAGCTAATTTATAGAAAAAAGTGAATATTTTTATTGGAGTCTTATTTTATGATGTTATTTTGCACTTTTAGGAGGAGTCGATAACAGCTGAGGAATCAACAGATGAACTTAGATGAAAATTCATTCATTAGTGGGTTTTCCAGATAATTTTCGCTTAGTTTGAAATATTATTTTGTAAAAAAATTTAGAAATTGTATTCGCTTACATTGGAGTATTTTGTGTATAATCCATACTTAATAGAGAAATAAATAACGTTACTTTTATTTATTTCATATGATAGCTGTGTGTCGCATTACATTATCTTAGGAAATGTTTTGACTATTACATTAAATATTTCTCTACTTTGACATTTTTAAAAAATGATTTTAGTCGTTCACAAGTACCGGGGTTGAAATGATTTGTCGAAAAATGCAAAAAAGTACAAAATAAATAAAATTTTTCAGAATCCAAACATTTATATTTATATTTATTCGCAGGAAGGTTAGGTTTAGTAACTTAAGTACTTGTTCTAAATAATTAGTATTAAAATATTTGGATAATTTCGAAGTTTGTACTAAATAATTAGAGTATCCGAGGAATTATTGAGTAAACATAAACGTAATTATTTGAACTTTAAACATTTTTCCTCGTAATTATTACCATACATAAGCCTATCTTTTTTCATTAAAATTTAAAATTTATCCAAAACTCGAAACACATCAATAAGCTGACGTAAAAATATATGTTGTGCTATTGTGGATAACTTCCCAGCCATCTTAGTTTGCTTTCTCATAAATATAAACTCATTGAAAGTAAGATTATTTCTTATTAGTTTTATTTCTTTTCGACTTAGGAGACTGAAGTCTCATTGTGTGAAGTAGACTCTTAAGCTTTACGAAACTTTTTCTAACTGTTTAATATATTTTTGTTTTAGTTTAATTTTCTTAATGCATAGGCGATATAAGTTACAAACCATCAGTTTTTGTAAAAATGCGTACTATATGAAGAACTTTAATTTTAATTAAAATTAATGACACTATGAATTTGAATTTGTTAAACCTTAAAAAATCGTTATTTAAAATCTTGAAAGTTTTTAAAACCTTCTCGATTGATATCTGTGGTAATGATCAGTTATTTTCCCGAGCTAAGTGTCAATCTTAATGGTTGTAGGGGGTGATTTCTACTATACTAATTAATTAGTGCTGACTATCAATTAAGTTACGAAATCAGACACAAAAAAGTACTTTTACTGAATAAACATGAATTTTTTTTGCACTTATTTTGATTCCTGACCTTCAAAACAGAGGATACAAAATTTCGAAAAATTTGGATCAAACATTTGGGTGCTAGGAAGCTGTATACATTTGGCGTAGTCCCAAAAAGAAGACCAAGCAATATTATCATACCAAGAGGAGTAATTAAAAATTTTAAGATAATTAACTATACGATCGATAAGAGAGAAATACTTAGTGTTTCTGAGTTGCTAAGCAATAAGTTGAGACAAACTTTTTAAAAAAAGTATCAAATGAAAACTGAAGCCTTTTCATTCATTTTATGTTAGCTCTGGAAGACTTCCTTTTAAAATAGTTAATAGAGAAATAGATCAAAGCAACGGGCTCATTTCGGGCTGATTTTCGTTTTCATCTCCTTTGTAAATATAATTTGAATCAATTTATAAATTCTTGGAATTATAATTCCAAGATTTTAGAACTAGAACACACGCACTTTTTATATTATATTATTTGTATTTTTTAAGTTGATCTTAACTTTCTTAATAATGAAGATTTTATACAAAAATCAAATTCTCATTAATTATTTTAATTAAACTCAGAGTTTTAGGGCAAACTATGAAAAAGCTCTCAAAAAATGCAAAGTATCTGGAAGAGACTATAGTATCTATAATGCATATTCACAGGATTTCATATAATTCACGATATTTCTATTATTGAGGAAATAGTAAATATTAAGTGATATTTTACAAATATTGGAATATGTTTGAATATTGTACGATTAATTTTTCAAAAAATTGTATATGTCTGCCGTGAGCTATGTGGCCGTCTTTGAATAAAGATAATTTGCTAACAGAAGCTCCTATACATTCTGAAATTCATCATAAAATGTCCCTCAGCATGTTTTTCAATTACAATCAGCTATATTTATCCAAATATTGTTATTTCTTTGCTTAATTTCCCTTATTAAAAGCTTCCTTTATGTTTCTTACCGTCACTACATCCATATACCTGATGTGAAACCGTATTCGTGAGATCCTCAAGAAACTGCAATGGCTGCAGCAAAACTTAGAAGTTAAATGTGTTTTATTATGTTAATATTCACTACAAAATTCAATAATCAATTTCAATAACTCCAAGTATCTGGTTACAAATTCTTAAGTTTTGAAATTTTAAAATTTAAGATAACTTCATAAATACAATGTAGAATCCACAATTTTCCCAATGTTAAAGAACCCTGTTAAATTAATACAAGTAATATACAGATATTTGTTTCTACGAGCATAAGATTCAGATCAAAATAGGGATCAAGACACAAATCTAATACAGTATACTTGATGATAAAAACTTCATTGGCTTAAAAAAATATGATGTACTGGTTGAAACTCAATATATTTCGAAAGCTCAAAAATGAACGCCCATTCTCTCGCCAAAGACTAATTAATAGACAAAGACTAAAAAATTAAATAAAGATAAAAACAAAATTAGAAAAGCCGCAGTGACAGAGAGAGGAAAATCAGGGTAAAATGCATTTCCACGAACTAGGGAGAGATGGTAAGGAAATCTTCGTTGACAAGGGAATTGGCATTCATATGTTGTTGTTCTCAGCCCCATGACCAGCAGAGCTAGATCAGGTCCATGAACTCGTTCACTCTGAGAAAGTCTAGCACCAACAGGGGAGCTGGAACCAGTTCCTGCCTGGTAAGCCCCAGACAAGATGAAATGTGGTCAGGGGAGGCCTGGGCAGCAGAACATTTAGTGCAGATTTCGAAATGTTTATTACCATCGATATAAGTCATTGATGACAGATGTCCACTGAGGAAACGAGTAATGGCATATGAATAAAACAAGTTTGAAATTATCCCCAAAATTCCAAGAATGTGCTGAGGATCACATTCTTGATAATGACTTATCCACCTTTAGTCTAAATTTTAAACCTCGTCTGGTTTGTTTAATTTAGTTTTAGTTTTGTTTTTCACATTTTTTTCCTATTTTTCGTTGGCAAACAAACATTTTTGTTTCAAATTATTTTTTTCCCTCATTTACGTCTGCCGAGTCTAGAAAATGTGTGCCTATTTTTGATGAGCGCTAAGCATTGCCGCGACTCCTGACGTTATTTTGAACTCTCGAAATGCATCGACTTTCCTTAAATTTTAATATTTTTTGAAGTTAATGAAGCTTTTATCTTACAGCTTCAGTTTCTTGAAATTATTCATTTAATACATTAAATTAAAATACTATAAACACGCAGTATATTAAATTAATATACTTTACGCGATATTAAAATAAGTTTTAACTAAAGATAATGGCTATGGCTCTTATATTGAAAAAATAATAAAGCATTAATAGTCACAACTTTCTAAAAAATCAATGCAGTAAAATTTTTTTATACAGTTTTATTTATTTATTTAATAATTTATTCACTGCTGTATTGAAAAATTTTTTTTAAGTATGTTAAACAATTCCATCTACAAATAAAATTTCAAAAGTCGAATGAAGCAATGGAAGGACGCTTCTTCCCTGGAATCTAAGTTAAATAGTTACAAAGTCAATTATTTCGAACAAGTTAATGTTTCTGCCTTACTCGAAATGTTTTGAAAATGTGTTTTTTTTTCATCGATCTAAAATTTATTCTAGATATTTTTATTCTTGATAAATTTGAATTAACATTAAGGGTTTCAAACTTTTTACAGCTCTCCAGCTAAGACAATTGAAACTATATTTTCCAGATTACTGCTAACCCCTATTTTGAATATCAGAAATCCAAATCAGCCAAAAAAAGGATGTATATTTAAAGATAGTACGTTTTTATGTCTGATTTCGTAGCTTACAATATCATGTCTGCACTAATTAACTAACATATTTAAGATTAAGACATAAACCATTAAGATTGACTCCTGAGAATCCAGAAAAAAAATCAAATCATTAAATCAAAAGTTATTCAGGGTGTTCACTTCTTAATTTTGCGCGTTGTGCAGACTTATAAAAATAGTAAAAACAATAGCGATTTGTAAAATTTTAATCGCCAGTTTGATTCTTTTCGAATTGCTCTTTGCAATGCAATTTAAACGATAGCGTTGAGTTCTTTAATATTATAAATAATTTTTTTTTGGATGCAAGGAAAGTCTTATGTAAATATCGCAATTAATATTTTTTCTGTAATCACAGATGTTTTATTTAATGATTAACAAACTGACCAAAATAGTCAATTTAATTGATGTTCTTTTATTAGCAATTGTCATTATCGGTTGTAATTATTTGTATTGAGCTCTTTAATTGATTTATAATATCGTGAGAATTTTATTAGATTTGATCAGAATACATATAGTCGGAAGCTTCTTAAATTTCTTATTATTTTGCTGTCAGCGAAAAAAAAAGTCCCTTTTTTGAATAACAGCTTCCTTTAGTTTCCTTTCTAAGAATAAGTGACATTTATTTCAAAATTGTAAGATTGTCTTTAAAAAAAAAAAAAAAAAACTTATAGCATTATTTTTCTTACCATATCATGTTTGAAAAACTTAATAGTTGAACTGTGTTTCATTATATCTGTTAAGTTGTCGCTACCTTTTTTCTTCCGATAAAATAGAGAATGACATAAATATTTTGTAATGATTTAATATTTCGATTTACGCACAAATGCAAGCTAGTTAAAATTAGAATTGCTATAGCGTAAATTTTTGATTAATACAATCTTTCCCTATATGATTGATTCTTCATATAATCCTTTTATTTTGCATCTTAAAAAATAGAGTTGGTTAATATCTTAATCTTAAAGGGCATCGATACGAGATTTGCCACCTGGAACTGTTTCTCCTAGATACGCCTTAGGAGGGGAGGGGGGTTAACTGATGGTCTTATGAATTCGGATCAGTGGACATTTTTGCGCAAAATTTAAATTTTTTGACTTTTAAGATTAAAGATATAGAAATTATGCTTCATTTAATTGAAATATATTATGCTTTAAAAAAGTTTCTTTTCTTTTTTTTTATTTGCAATAAAAATTTTTTTGGAATAATAATTATCACATAAACACTATATCATATAAAATATCATATAAATTATAT